TAGGCGTTCACTGGGTGGGTCCTTCCTGAGGTTCTCCCCAGCGACCCCACGRGAATCCAGCGCGGGGCTCTGGTGGGAGGGTCCCGCTTTGGCGCATCCTCAGAGCCGCTCTGGGGTTCAGCGTGGAAATTTGGGGGTTCTTTGGAACAGTGGGGATTCTGAGGATCCTGAGGGTGCAGGGGGGGATGTCACGGGTGGCACCTGGAGGTGTCCCAGGGATAATCTGGGGACAAACCCGCGTGTTTCCGGGAGCTGTCGGGCTCTGCTTCTCCCCGCCAGCTGCCACCACCCGCCGCCAAAGCCGCATTTGGGATTTAACGGGAGGCAGGAGCTGGTGGCCACAGCCCCCGGCGGGATTTAAAATATTCCTGCGCTGAGCTGGGGCACGGAGGGAAGAACAATTCCCGGAGGCGGCCGCGGTGTCTGCTGCGGACACGTCGCGGCGCGGCTCTCGTTGCGCCCCGGCGGGAGGCAGCGGGAATTTTCCAGCTGGAGCCGAGAGCTTTGCCCAAATGTTTGTTTAAAATTTGCCAAAAAAAAGAGAAGATTGTAAAAATCCCGCTGATCCACCCAAAACCTCCCGCCCACAGCCTGGCCTGGGGTTACCAGGAGGCAAATTCGCTCCAGGAGTGGAGCTGCTCGGGGTTGGGAGTGATGGGGAAAGGATGGGATTGAGCCCAGCACCCATCCTGAGGCACAAAACCACTGGGAATGAACAGGAATACCCCATCCTGTTCCCAAAAATCTGATCATGACTTGGCTGCTTGGCTGAAGATTCTTTTCCCACCCCATTTCCTAGAGGAGCAAGGAGAAATTTTGYTTAAAAATTCCTCATCTTCTTCTTTTCCCTTTTCCAGGATGGGGCTGGATTTTCCTGGGGACCACAGCAGGAGCTTCAGACAAAGCTGGGAATGAGGAAGGACAAGCCCAGATGGTGCCTCCCCCTCCCCACTTTGTCTGAGCCCGGGGGGACCCCAGGCCTCGGCAGATTTTCCCCTTGATCCGCTCACAACGGGCTCGTTTGCAGGAGGCTCTAATTAGGGAATTAACAGGGGGCAGTTTGTGCAGCACCATTTACCCTCGGAGCAAACAGGATTTTATAGTTTGCTCTGGGATTTATCCTTTCTTGAAGCCACGGCTCTGTCTGGAGATTCGGATGCTCCAGAACTTCACCCAACACATCCCCAGGGATGCTCTGAGGGTGGAAATTTCTTTTCCACGATTCCTGAATTGATTATTTTACCTGTGGGGAACAAAAAACCCACCCCCCAAATCCCTCTCTGGGGGGACTGAGCCGTGCCCTGCTCTTCCCACCCCTCGTAGCAAACTGAGACCGCGACACCTCACGTGAATAAAACAAACTTTTAATAATGTACAGCAGAAATCGACAGCCTGGTTTTATATTAAACAAAAGATTTCCTATCTTACACCGTATGTACATTTGCATACTGAAGAGGTAAAGTGGCTAAGTGGCTATTTTCTTACAGTCCTTTGCTAAGAAAATGTACAAAACCAAACAAATCAAAAGGGGCAAGAGAAGTACCAAGAGTTCTGTCCTGCAGCCACGTACCGCTGATGAACCCCCCCCTTTTCCTCATCCTRCACCGGGCTCCCCTCAGAACTGCCTGGAATTCTGCTTTTTTTCCCCCAAAACCTCTGCAAAAGTTTTGGAGCCGGGCAGCTCTGCAAGCACTGGGCACACCCCTGGGCACCGGTTTGCGTGAAAAGTGCTGTGTAAATGCTACATGGTCAGCGTTCCTGCCGCGGATCCCGCTCGGTTTTTTCCCCATCTCTCTCTAGAAACGAGGTTTTTTTTTTTTTTTTTTTTTCCTAAAATCCTTTCCTCGTGGCTCGTGGCTGTTTGGTTTTGGCGCTGAGGCAGGTGCATGTGTGGCTACAGTTGGAGAAAAGGGGGGTCAGTGCAAGTTGGGGAGCTCACGGCATCCTCGGGAATCCTGCAGCACCCATGGGTGGGTGATTGTCCCTTCCTGTCCATCCTGTCCTTCCCCCAGCTCCCAAGGACTGTTCTAAAATCCTCAGGACCACCTGGAAGTGGCCACCACACCCTTGGGTCACTAAATAAAGGTTTAAGGGACACTGGGGACCTCTGAAATTGGGACAGGGCATCCCTGTCCCGCTCRGTGAGATCCACATCGCCAAAAAACTCCTCGGGGGATGCAAAAACGGCTCCTAACATGATTCAAAAAAACCACACTCCTCATTTATACAAGGTCATGAACACACAGGGAATTGGGGGAGACGGACACACGGACAGGGACACAGACAGCAAGAACAGAGGGATTGAAATAAAGACTTAACCCTGGCAGCCAGAGCAGAGATGAAACCTCACCTTAAGAGAGCAGGAGCAAGGTCAGAGTAAAAACAGTTCCAGTGTAAATCGAGCTGTGCATTTGGTTTTTTTTCCTTTTTTTTTTTTTTTTTTTTTTTTTTTTTTTTGCAGTGATTTCCTTACAAACCAACAGGTCAAGAGGTAATAATCAGAGATTGTTTTTCTGCTCTTAGAAAGAATTAACAATATTCAAAAAAGTTAAAATCCAGACCCTCCCAGAAAAACAACAACAATAATAATAATAATAATTAAAAAAATAATAATCAAAACCACTCCAGTTAAAAGTTATGGCTTCAGAGTTCTCTATGCAGACACTGATCTGACCTCCACACCACGGCTCTTTTGGACTGCCAAAGCCATCATGGCAGCCACAGCCCTCAATTCCATGGTTGCTGTAGTCACCCCACCTGAATCAAAAAAAAAAACCCATGCAGATCCCCCCACCCCACACTGAGACACAGCCACTTCCACATTAGGAGATATTTATACATCTATATTAAAAAGATGGATGTTGATTTGCCAACCCACACTTGATGTCAGGTCCTGCCTGGTGTTTCTGGGAGGTGCAGAGCACCCCCAGCACCCARATCATCAGGCCCCCAAAAATCTGCCTGGATGGTGGATTTGGGAATTGTGTTCCCAGGGAAACTGAGTCCTGCATTTCCCCACGCGCCTGCTCCACCTCTGACACATCTCAGCTCCCTGCGACCAAAAATTACAAACCCCAGGGGCTCAAGACAAAAAAAAACCAAAAACCTGGATTCCAGGAGTGATTCTCAGTTCCTTATTTTGTCTTAAAAAAAGGGAAGGGGGTGGCAGTGAGGCAACCTGATGGGGACGTTCTGGCAGCCGGCGGCGGAGGAAGCCGCGGATCATCCGCTCTGCAGCAGCCTGTCCAAGCTCCACGACGCTCACAAACTCAGCACGGAGAGATAGAGAGAGAGAAGAGAGAGAGAGCACCAGCGCAAAAAACAGCTCACAAACGGGACACTTGGAGATTTGCACATGCACAGGAAGCACGGACAGAGATGARCCACCCACAGGCAGACACCGCACACGGCTATGGAGGAGATGACCAGGCACGGGGACACGCGCACCTCGCGCATGCAGACACCGACCGGCGCCGACTTGGACTCGTTTCAAGCTTGAGAAAAGGAGGGAAAAACGGTTTTTTGTTTGTTTTTTTTGTGAAGCTGATCAACTGTTCCGGCTCAGCCTCTCGGAAGAGAGCACCATTTGTTTTGCTTTTTCTGCATCGACGTGCCAGTCCCTGGAAAAAAAAAATCCTCGAGAGAACTGCAAGAAAAACCTTCCCTTTTCCCTTCCCGCTCCCAGCACCGAGCACCCCGACGGGTGCTCAACACACGCTGAACTTTACAGGAATTTCCTTGAAAAGAACAAAGAAGTTACGATCATGGCTGAGATCCCTCGGGTGAAGTCCCTTCTCAAGTCTCCACGCTCTCAGGAGGTGATCACAAAAGGTTTTTCGGATTGTTTCATACCCAAGCAGGGAAGAGAGCGCTTCCTAAGGCTCCGTCCCCCTGCCTAGCAGCCTGCAGGTCCCGCTGTCTGGTTGTAGCAGTAAGTTGGGCTGAAACACGAGGTAGGCCTCCATCACACGTCTACTCTAGCACAGCAGCTCCTGTGCAGTTTCCTCCTGCTGAGGCTCAGAGCCTAAATTTTCACATCTTCCTGGACGCTGAGCTGCGAGAGGGTTTTCTTGATGCGGAGGGCGGTGAGCCGAGCCGCTCCGTTGGCGTACCAGCACTCTCGCATCATCTTGCCCATCACCCGCAGTGCCTGGACAAGGAAAAAAGGGAAAATGTCAGAGCTCTGCTCTTCTGAGCTCACACTGCTCTGCCTAGATGCTTTCACACCCTCCCCAGCCCAAAATCAGAGCGCATTTTATGGTATTAAATACCATTAAATACCCGTTACCCCATCATGAGGGAATCACAGAATGGTTTGAATTGGAAGGGACCCTAAATTTCAAAAATTTAAAAAAAAAAAAAGGGGCTGGTGAATTTTTTTTTAAGTAAAATTCGTTCCAAGGACACCTTCCACTGTTCCAGATTGCTTCAAGTCCTGTCCAGCCCGGCTCTGGGCACTTTCAGGGATGGGGCAGCCCCAGATTCTCTGGACAGCCTATGCCAGGGCCTCACCACCCTCATAGGGAAGAATTTCTTCCCAATATCCCAAAATCAGAGCACATTTTATGGTATTCACCTGTTACCCCATCGTGAGGGAATCACAGAATGGTTTGAATTGGAAGGGACCCTAAATTTTAAAAATTAAAAAAAACAAAAGGGGCTGGTGAATTTTTTTTTTAAGTAAAATTCGTTCCAAGGACACCTTCCACTGTTCCAGGTTGCTCCAAGCCCTGTCCAGCCCAGCCCTGGGCACTTTCAGGGATGGGGCAGCCCCAGATTCTCTGGACAACCTATGCCAGGGCCTCACCACCCTCATAGGGAAGAATTTCTTCCCAATATCCCATCTAACCCTGTCCTTTGTCAGCAGGAAGCCATTCCCCCTCGTTCTGGCACTCCTTGTAAAAAAGTCTCTCTCCATATTTCTTGCAGACTCCCTTCAGGTACTGGAAGGTCAYRATTAGGTCACCCCCAATTCTGTTCTCCAGGCTGGACAATCCCAATTCTCTCAGGYTTTCCTCAYGGGAGAGGAAGGRACATGAAGATGAAATCAGACCTTACCTCGTAGCTCTGCCACCAGTTTGGGATGTTTGGCCGTAATTTCTGGTCACAMACGACCTTCCGCATCTCCTCAATGGAAGGATCAGAGGGTACAAGGTCGTAGTAGGGAAGCTGATACTCCTCATGGATACCTGAAAGGTGGAGCAGGAGAAATTAAATCCCAGGGAACGGGGAGCACGGTCACTGTGCTCGCTAAAGGCAGACGGAGAGAGGTTTGGGCTCYGTGACTCACTGCTGAGATGCGTCAACACTTTTGCAGTTATTTAGAACAGAAATGAAGAATCTGGAATGGGGAGTTTACAGGAAAAATTCAGGCAAATAAAACGCAGCTGCCTAAACTGGAACGGAGTCAGCAGGCTGGGATTGACACCTCCCAGCAAGGCGCYAGGGTCAGTGGATCTCAGCGGCGGTGGGACTGTCACACGTGGGATGACGCCGTGGCTGCACGTGCCAAGACATTTCTGCTGATCTGAGGGAGTCCCCCACCCATCAGCACCAGCAGAACTTCCTTAAAATCCATCCAAAGGAACAKCAGCCACCACCAGTGGGAGCACCAACACCTTTAACCCAACATTTCCCGGGTTTAGCAGCAGTCGTGGGTCACTTCTGTCACCTTTCTTGGTGACAACAAACAGGGACACGTCCTCCCACAGCCCTGTTCTCCCTCAAACCTCCCAAATGCCCGAATTTGGGAGACCCAGGAGCAAGCACAGCCAACGGCCCAGGCACACAAAACGTGTTGTTACCTCCTGCGTTGCACCTTCGAGCAATCTCCCAGTAGACCAAGCCYAAGGCGTAGATATCGGCACATTTAAATGAATCAAAATGCTTCATGTTGATGGTTTCATCCAAGACTTCTGGGGCCATGTATCTGCAGAGAGAAAGGAAAAGCGTGTTCATTCTGCAAGGAGAATTCTCTGGAAGATAGAAAATGATCAGTTTTCCCACACTGCACTTCCCAGCAGAAAAAGCTCTGCTTGGCAGAGCCACCGTCAGAACAGAACTGGGCCCTGTGATCTAAGAGTGAAGAAAATAACTCAAGAACAGCAAGCYGGGAAAAGAGGTAAAAATGTCCCAAAAATCACATCAGGCTCCCAACAGAAGGTTCCAAAGGCTTTAGTGAGGCCAAGCTTGTTGTCATGTACACCTTGGTGTCAGGTTTACATGGCTGGCCCACACCTCTCAGCRACAAAGGTACTGACATCCCTTTGGCATCAATTCAGGCACAAAACTGACCCTGAAAGACACTGGGAAATGCTGAATTCAGAGAATTCCCCCAAGGCTCAACCAGCAAGCAGCTCAGGCATTTCCAGTCACACTCAAAAGCTTTAAAATTCATTTTCCTACCGTTTGGTTCCAACCCTTTGGTTGGGCGCGATGTCAATGGTGTCGGTGACAGAGTCGTGCCGGACAGCCAGGCCAAGGTCAGCGATGGCACACGTGCCGTTCTTCTTCACCAAAATRTTTTTGGATTTCAGGTCTCTGTGAGCTATCCCGGGTTTTCCTAACAGAGAAAAATAAAAAGCAGCAAGGGTCAAGCTGGGGAAATGCATTTATCGAACTGGCGCAGAGGCAGCGCCGGATTTCAGGGCGTTAAACCCGATGTTGCAACACATTTTCCTGTTGAGATTTTTAAGGAACAGAGCAGGGAAAGGCTCCAATCGCCTTTTGGAGGCGTCGCTGATGCAGTGGCACCCGGAGGCCTCAAGAGGGATGTAAACTCCACATCCCAGACGTCAGGAATTTGTGATTCTCCTTCTGCCTGTGCTCACATCCCACCCAAGCAGCGCCAATTTTAGGATGGGATGTGAAATGGTGATATAACTCCTGGGAGCGAGCGCCAGGTTAACCCACTTTGCAGCCAGCCAAAGCAATCGCTCTATTTCTGGTCAGTAACAACCAGATGAAGCCGGGCTGACTCAGGCAGGCTTTGCTGTACAKCACAGCAGCTCCCTTCGGCAAAAATCCCGCTTTATCAAGAATTCCCAACGCCKTTTCCAACGCGGATTTTACCCTGAGTGCCCACAATCTCCATGTGCAGGTGGGCCAGCCCGCTGGCAGCAGAAAGGGCAAGCTTGATCATGCCCTCGATGGTCACCGTGTAGCGATTTAGGTAGTCAAAGAGAGAGCCGTGCTCGTGGTAGTCGGAGACGAGCCASAGYTGAGTCCAYGTCCCGTTATCTGTGACAGGAAAGAGATGGAGATCAGGCAGATCAAATGCAGGGATGGCCATCGAGCATCCCACACAATTTTGGGACAGAGCAGAGCTGCTGGGTAAGGCCTGGGGCAAGTAGGAAATGGCTCCTATCAGCCAYAGYGTGRCCAGCAGGAYCAGGGCAGTGAATGCCCCCTGTGCCAGGCWCTGSTGAGGCAATGCCTCRAATCMTGGAGTCAGTTTTGGSCAGTGTAGAGACCCACAGAAGTCCATTTTAGTCAGYTTTAGTCACCCATGACAAAAAAGACAAAAGTGGAGGTGCTGGAGTGAGACTTGATGGGCAGTGGAAGGGTCTGGAGAACTTTTGAAGAGCAGCTGAGGGAGCTCAGCCTGGAGAAAAGGGGGCTCAGGGGGGACCCTCTCACTCTGTTCAACCCCTTGACAGGAAAGTGGAGCCAGGTGAGGTAACAAACRACAGGACCAGAGGAAATGGCCTAAAGTCTCACCTGGGAAGGTTTAGATTGGGTTTAGATTAAGAGAAAATTTCTTGGAAAGGGTGGTCAGGCTCTCAGGCTGCAGGCACCTCTTACCTTTGTTATCTGCAGCAATAAAGCCCAGGATGTTCTCGTGGCGCAGCATAACGGTTTGATAAATCTCTGCTTCCCTGAACCACGAGCGYTCCTCACGTGAAGAGAAGATTTTCACTGCCACGTCACCTCCACGCCACCTGCCCCGCCACACCTCCCCAAAACGGCCTTTGCCGATGATYTCCTGAAGGACAATGGTCCGAGCCACGGTCCGTTGGACAAACAGAGGCAATCCTGGGGACAAGGAAAGGGAGGAATGAATCCCTGTGGTGGCAGAAACATCCCAAAAGGCTGAAAAATGTCCTCAAAGCCAGCAGGTTTTATATTTGGTAACAACTGGGAGCTTAGGCAAGACCCAGAGTAGAGAATGATGGGGGATCCTGTGTGGGATCCTTAGGCAGCATCTGCATTTTGCTTTGAAGCAGTGATCTGGCACAGAGCAATTGCAAAACTTCTGCTCCACGACAGATCAAAGRAACTGCAGCTTTAATATGCAAAGAATGGAACTGGATGGAGTAAATCCCTGCTAAAAAGCAGAAATCCCCCCAAATTTCTCTTAGGAAAGGAGTCTCAACATCGCTGCCATCACTTATGCAAAGCATGAGCTCACCTAGAGCCACAGCCTGCATAGAAGAGATCCCAAATATTTCATATATGGCAGCAGGTGTGCTGCTAAAGGTTGATTCCCTGGTCAAATATCAGATTGTGACATTCTCTGCCTCTGTGGATTTTTCCTACAKTTTCCACCTGATGCAAAATTCCTTCTATTCTTGAACCCAACTACTTTCCCAGCTCAAAGCCACTGCTAAACCATGACTTCCCATCTATTCTGGGGATTCCATCTGYTCTTTTCAAGTGCTATGGAAGCAAACACAGCACACATCATCCACCTGGGAAGACCCAAAGGTTCTTTGGGATGAAATGGGCTGTGAAAATGCATTTATGTGCATCATAAAACGTTGATCTGGGATCTTCCCTGTTTTCCTGCAGCTTTGATGCAGGTGACATCCTGCATTCCCCTCTGAAAGCCAACCATGCACAGATTATCAGTTAATGGCTGTTTCCAAATYCTGTTCCAAGGCTAAACTGGGAATAGATGTTTGAGCCATCCTCTTGTATTTAAGGAGGAGTTTATTGCTCTTACCTGAACAGACACAAGACCAACGCACAACTGACTTTAAACTGAATTTAAAGTCCCTTTAAGTGACTCATGACAAACCCCCTGAATAAACTCCTCACTGCCTGGCAAAGCTGTGGCAACCACGAGCCCAAAAGAGACAGCTCCAACCACAAATTCTCGTTGTTCACGCAATACCTGAGCCAGAGCCGGAGGTGGAGAGATCGTAGACCAGATCTTGCAAAGTCTTATCCTTGGAAAGGCACATTTCACAAGAAGGGTCTTCCATGTCCAGCCGCTGGCGGTTGTGATAGACTCGTTGGTGGTGATGGAAAACAAAAACYACGATGATCATCACAACAAACACGAGGAAGACGGGCCCGGCAATCACCGCCACCAGCTCCACGGGACCCCAGCTTGATGGGGGCTCATTGTCTTTCAGGTGTCCTTGGGAGGAGAAAAACAGACATTTTGAGTAAAATTATCATTTTTTTTTAAGGATTTTCTTGTGTTTTATTGTCCTATCAGAGGCTGGATGATTTTAGCCTGGGGACATAGCAAATAGTGTTAAGGTGGGGCTGAGCATCAGGCAGGCAAAATGCAGCTGAAAACCCAAAAAGAAGATGAAGCTGCCATTGTAGGATCAGAGTTATCAGGAAAATGTTCTAAAATGGGCTGGTTTTCCAGAACAGCCTGTGGTTCACCTTCCATTTGAACTCACACAGTCAGCCCAGGCTCACTGCTCCCTCTTTCCCCTGCAACAACCATTGAACTTGTACCTGAAAACAATTATTTGTTGTTTTGAGCACAGATGAGACCTCCCCAGTGCTCCTGAGGAAAATGACTCTGCAGTTTTCACAGCACCCACTAAAAACCAGCCCAAAACAGAAAGTGGGAGGTATGAGGAAGCACCACATGCCCTYTCTGTCCTGGGGATGAGGAGCAGAAGTTTCCCACACCCTCACTCAGATACAGGGCTGTTTTCCCTGCTTGTATTCCAAACCCATTCACCTTCCTCCCCACACACTTTGCTCTAAAACTGCTGCAATATTCCCCTACTTGTGCTCAGCACTGAAAAGATTTGGATTTCCCTGGAAGGGAAGCTGATAAAACAGGTCCAGCTCAGTGACAAAGGGAACAATCCCATTTTAATTTGAAGTGGTTTGTAATTTCCACTTTACAGATGAAGGAAATAAACCCAGCGCTCGAGTTCATGCAGCAACTGAAAGGAAGAAGTGAAAAACAGGGCTGAGAATTCCAAATTCCCAATCCCAAACAGACAGCTCCTCTCCTCCCACTTCAAACACATGATTTATCTCACTCTCTAACTTACCGCTGGGAACCATTAAATCAATTTTGTTGCAAAAATCGGAGTAGCAGCAGTGAGTATTACGCAGATCCTCTGAACTCAGACAATAGAAGGGTTTCCCAGCAGGAATCAATTTTGCCTGAGGAATGCAGGTCCGAACGTGGTGTTTGACACCATCCAGGTTGAAGACYGAGACCATGCAGGCGCCGTCCGTCTCACACGTGGAGTTGGCTTGTTTGCAGTCAGAGCACAGACATGTCAAAGCTGAAATCAAAACAAGATCAACTCCTTAAAAACCCACGGAGAACAAAAACTCAAAACAAAAAGGAAACCTTCTTTAAATTCTCCATTTCAGAGGGGGCCGTTCTCCAGCTCTGGAAGAACCGGCTCTGCRAACAGCACATACTCAGTATTCCAGACGTGCAAGAATCCAATTTTCAGCATGAAACAGAGTGTGGAGGCAGAGGAGCTTTTCCAGGAGATGCCTGTCCAGGCAGCCCTTTGCCTGCCCCTGTTGCAATCCCCACCAGACACGACCCAAACCATCCCTGCACAAAAGATCGGAGCGAGATTCGCTCCCAGCCCAACCTCGGCTCAGATTCAAACCCAAACCAACAATTATTCAAACAAACTGACCTGATTCCACCTGAGCTGCYTGTCCAGGCTCTAAAAACTGCTTAATTTGGGCAGGCAAGGGATGACCACCTCATGGAGACAAGGAGAAGCTGGGAGATGCCAAACCAAACCCAATCCCAAGCGTGCTACACCCAGCTAGATCAGCCACTTATTTAGTAACTGCTTTCCTGATCCTAGACACCACCTTGGGTCAAATAAATTCCTGGCTTTTTGCCTGCTCTCCACAAAGATGATTTGGATAAAGAAAAGGAGAAACTCTGAGGCAGATTCCCMCATTTTTTTGCACCTCATTGTACTTTCCTCGAGCTGCCTGAAAAACTGTAAGCAAATCCCCAAGCYTTGCCATCCTTGGGAACAAAGAGGAATCCAACAATGTCAAGAAGAAGGGTGGGGCTTGTTTAGCAGCACGCTGGGGCTTTCATCAGCTCTCCCAGCCTTCCCAGAGGGAATCCAAAACATGTCCTTACCCGCTGCTTTCAGGTAGGGAGAGTTTGAGGAAGGGTTTAAAAAAAATACAAAGTGCCACAGTTCACTCTGCCCAGGCTGATCTAAATCCTCCTGGTGTTAAAGTCACACACAAAGTCACCCTCAACACTTGTTACCTTAAGATTAATGAAAAACAAGCTGGGCCTGATTTACTCAGGGTTTCTTGAGGAGGAAGACACCCATTAGCCCTTTATCCCAGAGACCTGGCTAAATCAATCAGGGTAATTGCATTACTATTCACTTAATTCTCTCTGGACGCTGCTCCTCCTTTTCCAGCTGTTGTTGTGAGCTGTTTCAGATGGGCTGAATGTGGGTGCTGGTTAGTTTGGATTTAAAATTGCAGTGAAAAGCCAGTGATAGGAGSCAAAGGAATGGATRGAGCTGTGTMAGGAGAGGTTTAGGATGGGTTTTAGGAAGAGGCTCTTCCCTAGAGGGTGGTGAAGCACTGAAGAGGTGCCCCAGGGAATGATCACAATTCAGAGTTCCAGGAACATTTGGTGGGATTGTTGGGGTGTCCTGTGCAGGGTTGGGAGTTGAACTGGATGATCCTTGGGGGTCCCTTCCAACTCAAAATATTYCRTAATTCTATAGCTCTGTGATTAAAAYCTGAAGAGCTGAGTGAGAGATCTTTAAAAAGAATCACGAGCAAATGTARTTTATCACCACAGAGCAGTGAAAAGGGACAGAGGACAGAAAACAGACAGGGAAGACCCTCTCTGTGTTGAGAAGGGTGGACAACATCCATAGATTCTGAAGATTTTTTAGTGATGAAAGGAAAAAAACCCTCCAACAACATTCACCTCAAACAGCTCCAAGATCAGCTTTTTCCCATGGTCAGCAAAAAAGACAATTCTGAAAAATACACACACGTGGGGGAACAAAGGTTGGTGATAAAGGAGATTTTATGAAAACCTGAGATGGCAAAGAGCAGCCAGGGCACATTCCTGCCTTCATGTCTACTTAAAAGGAAATGGTCTTTTAAAGCATCTCTCTTATTACTTATCAAAAGCTCGAGATACAAATTAAAAACATTTAAACCCACACACATTTCACTGTGTAGGTTTTTTTTTTCAGTTTGATTTAGATACAACAAAACTGAACTTTGTTCCTGTTAGACTCATTTTTGAGGTCTCAATCCCAAGATTTAGGCTTGTGGCAGTGTTGCTTCCAGAAGCTCCAAAGCAAACAAAGCACTTCAAYGCCACTAATAAAACTGGTTTTGTAAACTGAGTGAAGTCTCTGGCCTGAAACTGAGCATCCCTTTGAGAGAGAAAA